CCATAAACCTAGCACGACATGTCCAATAAGTTCCATAATTTACGTATAGGTAGCGATGTCTTTGCTTATTTGTTCAGAATAGCATTATTTTACCCCCAGATGCTGTTTTTAATCTAAAAGTTTTCGTTTACGAGGACGGTATCCATTTCCATAATATGAGTGGCTGTTTAGGTCACGTGTCTGATTTTGACCAATCACGACCCTTATAAGCAGACTGTAGTGAAAAGCGTCGTTAGAAACCAATCTTTATCCAATAAAATCGCTTCTTACAAATGTGAAAATACTCTCGGCAAGAGTACAGTGATATTGTTGATGTTCAGAGCTTTCGAACGATACCCGCCATCAAACGATTCGCCTCTATGTAAGTGACACGTGCCACTCACTAATTAACACGAAACTGATTGACACTTCCCGTTTCTGAATAACCTCGGGAGTCAATACCCGCGAATCAACACTTGCTTGTTTTACAGTCAAACTGCCCACTACATTCATTAATTACTCTATGTAAGTGGTACGTACCACTCACTGATTAACAAGATACTGATTAACACTTTCCGTTTCTGAATAATCTGGGGAGTCACAGCGAATTGTGTTGTTACATCATTTTGGACCTAATTGCATCAAAGGGTTACGCTGTCTTTCATGTGCCGGTTTTACAGATTCGTTTTCATAATAATTTGTTCGTTGGGACTGAAAAACAATGCCGATATCCTGAATAGACAGATGCCGATGTTTACAGATGTTTCTAAATGATAATTACATGCATTTCTCCCGGGACAGAAACTTTGTGCTGATGTAGACAGAGTGCCCGTGTTTACAGAGGCCGGTATTGACGGAGTCCACTGTACTTACAAAATGCACAAACCTACATCTGCTTAAATCCGTCTGCTAGCTGCCATTTTGAGAGGGGAGTGTTCATTATATTTATTTGTTTTAATTTAAAAATATATTTTGGGGTTTTCTTTTAATAAAATATTTCATGAAATAGAGAAACACACTTGGATAAAGTTAGTAACCTCAAACTTTAAATATTCAACTCTCCAATTATGACCTTCTGACCTTTTAGCAACCTTTTTCCACAACCACTTTGTACAGTGCTCAAAAGTACTATTTGCACCATATTTCAGCTTGGAACCAAACTTTTTATTTAACTAGCATGTCTGATGAATACAAAAAACACAATGTCTTGCTTTCATCACAAAACTTCCACGGACTTGAATTCTGTACCCATCCTACCAGACTACTAGGTCGTACCGAGTGTTGGGGGCTGCTCCTGAGGTATCTACTATATCACTTTCTAGGTTTCTAGTACCACCAATGATGGGGACTTCAACGCGTTTGTAAATGTTGTTTTCAGTTGCAAGGCGTACAATTTACCATCTATTCCAGGGTCGTCGAATCCGCGTATGTCCCTGAGGTCGGAGATCCCCACATTGATACATTTTTTTTCAACTCCTTCCGGGGCCTTGAGTGCTGGTCATTTTATGTGCAGCGTTATGCTGAGGTATCCTATATTCACGGGATTACGATTTATATCTAACACCGATATGATCAGCTCAGGGAAGTTGCCCTGGGTTAACCTCTTATACTGCCGTGGCAAAACGACTCAGTTCTACCGTCGTTGTATTTCTCCGTTTTCACCGGTACGGCTCTCAGTATCGTGGAAGGGTGACCCCTTTGAATGTTGTCCGTTATGCTCACCTGACCGAGATGAATGCACAGCTCTCGGTACGGTACTAGGTCGGGTAACTTTCATGCCTGTGACAGTAGTCATTGGTTTTATCTCGTCAGGCGAGTGTCCTCGCCAATGGTCGGCTTAACTGAGCCTCAAGGGTTTTCTTCCGTTGTTGATTAACACCACTGTGCCGTTTGAGTCGTTCTTCTTGGAGTTCGGCCCCAATGGTTTGAAGACCTCGTCGCTTAGTGAACACACGCTGTAGTAGCCGTCAGTTATCTGGCTGCAAGAGCCACCGACGATCAGCCTGTTGTTGTTGACATTGATGTTAGTCCATCGCGGTAGGTAGGTGATATCGCACAGTGCTACTTTGAGTTGACCCAATGTATGATCGATCGCGTGCGTCAGCTGAACGGCCTCACCGCTCGTTATTCCTGGGAGTGTTATGTACATGTTAGAGTATATATGCTCATTATATAATACTTTAAAAAGGTACAAACCAGGGTGTTTTTACCCTAAACTGGACATAGATTTCCCCACATTAAGATTGTGGTTGCTCCTGGGTTGTATTTCAACGCCCAGTTCATAGATGTGTTCAACCGGTATAAGCTTTCGGTGACTAACGTCAAGGCAGTCCATGCTTTGCTCAACAACCAGATGCAGTTCTGGCAGAATCAATTCAACTTCGCCGTGTGTTGCGCTTACAACGAGGTGTGGTGTGACATTAACTGACACTCGGCGTGGACCGCTGAGTAAGTCTGTGTTCATGTTTCATGTGTACTACCAGGTCAGGCGTATCCTCATAGAGATCAGCGCCCGCTCCCACAGGACAAAGCATGGGACGCAGTAAACAACCAGTACGATCGGCGTGCTTACGGAACGGATTTGTGGTGAATTCGGAATCGACCCTAAAACAGATTGGCGTATACCAGGAGGCGTGAACCACAGGTTGGGTATTCCGTACAGTTGTGGGCTCTCCGTAAAAGCATTATGAAAGATATAATGACAAACTATATGAAGCACAATTTTTCTTCCATACATTTATCCAACATTGTTCCTAAACCCATACTCATTGGGTCAAGACCGGTGAAAGAAGCCAGCGATGATCTACTGAAACGAGGTTTACTTCGCCAGAATTTACTCTGTCGAGTAACGAATGGCGGGATGATCGTATGGACTTTAAAGGTAACGTTGGTTTCACCATAAAAAAGGTCGAGCAACCCCCAAACGTTGAAGACAATTGGAAAATATTTATGCTGGACATGTCGAGAGGGTTCACTCGTGCCGGCAACGAACGCTTGAACGACTCGATTCTAACGTACGTGTGGTTGTTGTTGGGTGCGCAGACGCAAACGCGTTCCAACATCCTCGGTAAGGGGACTGCTTACGACGCTCAGAAACAGTTCGTTGTTAACGTTGAGGATGCTATTAATTCTCCAGTTGATCTCCCGAGCGCAATCAAACGTTACCAAGACGTGTTGGAATACGCCAGGTCGAAAGTCGACTACGTCTTCGACGTGGGGCTGTACATGGCTCCGAGCGATATGCAACTGAGAGTAAAAAAAGTGGTGGGCTACAACAACGAAATAGTCATAGCCACGGCAGACCAAAAGTTGGGCGTCAATCCCGATGTTAACACCCCCACATACCACCACCCACGACCGGTGAAACGGGTATAGTCGCTCCATCCCCGGAGTCCAGGGTTCAACACACACACACACAGCCCCAACCCCACACGTTCAGGCGTCCAATCAGCAGCACATCGATCGTAAAACAGCCCTGGTGGTTGGTGGGGTAGCTTTGGGTCTCATTTGGTTAAAAATTCCTTAGCCGCTACGTACACCAAACCCGCCACGGCGACGATGGCTGCCCACAGGTTTTGACTGAGCCACATGGCAGTTTTAGCCAGAGCGCTCAGCAGCCACGAGACGATGCTACCCAGGATGCCGGGCAGGGCTTCGGTGGCCTTACCAGCCAGTTTAGCCAGGGCCTCCCCCTGAGGGATTTCAGGTGTTTTTACCCAGTCTCTGACGCCCCCACCACTTGGTGGTGTTGGTGGTGTGGGGTGTGGGGTATCCTGTCAAAGACAAGACTAGGGTTGATATGATGAAGCCCAATGCAGTCAGAATGCTGGCGATAGTAATCCCTTGCTCTCGGAAGAGGATTCACTACAAAAATAAGTTGGTTTCCGAACACTGAAACTGAGAGGAACGGCATGGAAACCACCATTTCCAGTTGGTTTCCATGTAGTTTCCTAAAGTTTCAGTGTGGTTTCCATGAAAACTGAAACTGAATTTTGCACCATTTCCGGATGGTTTCCAGTGCGTTTCATTACCCACCTCCTCCAAGCAGTATCCAGCTGGTTTCCATGTTTTAATTTACTGTAGGTTTCAACCTGGTTTCCATGTTTTAGTTTATTGTAGGTTTCAACCTGGTTTCCATTTTACGTTTACTGTAGGTTTCAACCTGGTTTCCATTTTTAGTTTATTGTAGGTTTCAACCTGGTTTCCATTTTAGTTTATTGTTTTCAACCTGGTTTCCATTTTTAGTTTATTGTAGGTTTCAACCTGGTTTCCATGGTTTTGTTTAATGTTGGTTTCAACCTAGTTTCCAGGTCATAACTTTCATAATACTTTACCCACTCCTCCATTTAAGCTCCTGCTGCTTTCCATGTGTTTAGAATATTGTTGTTTCAAACCTGGTTTCTATGAAACTGAATGCTGGCTATTTACCTGCTCCCCCAGGTGTTTCATGTATCAGATAGCAAATCAGGTATTTTATACAATTGAATAATGGTAAAACCTTTAAGATGACAAATAACAGAATAGAACACAAATGAATGAAAAGTTTATTAACAGTCAAAACTCTTTGATTGTGAACATGGTTAATTAATTATGTATCTAGCTACATGTACATAACATATGCATCAGGGACATAAGAGTAAGTGAGTATAGTTTTACTCCGCTTTTAGCAATATTCAAGCAACATCACAGCATGGGACATCAGAAATGCGTCTCAGGAATCAAAATCAGCAGTGGTGTTCAGCTGGTCTTCTTCTGCTGAACTTTTCACTGCCCAACTGGGCATGTCCAGTGGCAGATCAGCGTGTTGGACTTGTGTTGGATGTCTTCCCCACATCTTCATATTTTTTCGGCCCCTTGCAGTAGCCTTGAACAACCGCTGGTAGTCCAATTGTCGCTTATATGAACAAAGTTTCTTGCTTTCCCACCAGAAAGCAGTTGACAAGAGAAGATTTTCATCCTCTTCGTCTGACACCATGCGTGATGTCAGCTCTTTCCTCAAGAGAGGAAGAACTTTCTCCTTCTTCTTCTCCGGCCAGTCTATGGTTGCAATGGCCTTCAGCCTGCTTTCCAGTTTCTGAAATTTAGAAAACGATAAACAATCAGTACAAACAAGCATTCGTCAACAATATCCGTAGCTAGAAAAAAGAAAAAACACCCAATATTGCTGTAGGAAAACTAAATTGAAACTACTGTTGTATAAGCAAGTAGTAATAAGAAATCTAACTAATCACCTGAAATGACCTGTAAAGGGGCAAAGATTTCAATCACAGTACAACTTAATGAAATTTGAAAGAGTACAGACACAAGTGAGAGAAGGACATATTTCCTTAGCTTGGGTTGGACATTTCATGACTGATTCTCTTTCAATAAATTATAAATGTGACTTATGGGAAACTGACATTGAATCAATAATATACCTTATGAATGCTCACTAAATTTATGAAATACTGGTCACTGTCGTTGCCTACTTATCTGCAAAATGTTCCTGTGAAAGCCATCTTATCTTCTGAATGTTGCATAAATCATGTTTAGATATTATGTGTATAGAACTATGAATTACCCATTATTGTGTCAAAGGAAGCATATTTTCTTACACAGTTGTTTTTGGTCTGAACATTTCACCTTGAACACATCAATTAACAATTATTTATTAACACCACCACACTTGTTAGAAACTGCAAATACAATAATGTGAGATATAAGATTGAGGGGAACTCCCATTCAGTTTCTAGTCGACTAGAATGACCCCACATTTAAAACAAAACTATACACTGGTGCTTTACTATTTAAAACTTATTAAAAAATGTTCATTTTGAAATTTCTTTTGAATGTCACAGTACAATACAAGAAATTACATTAACTTCCAATTGTGTCCAATCAAATTTATGTTAAAACTTTAACCTGTGTAAGATTAGAATTTAGAATGATTAGATATTCTGTACTTACTGATCTGACCCTTTTGCTGTTCTTAGCAGACAACCTGTGGGCCTCTGCCTTTCCACTTTGTTGTCTTCTCAGGTCATCCCTCTTGTTGGTCCACACCCACCAAAAAGCTTCTGAAAGGAGATATGTATAAGTAGAAAGTATTTCCATTTGGATGTTAAAAAATAGTAGCTGTTTTTATGCATTTTCCCGATTTATAGGATTTACATTTTTTTAAACATGGTTTAGCATTGTGAGTACTAGTGAAGACTGGATAAAATAACTTTATTTCACAATTGCATTTTAAAGAAACAATAATATTTGAAATTATATTACTGAAATAATATGGCTGTGCATTGCAAATTCTGTAGGGAGGATTACAAAATGACATGAATGTAGTGCTAATACAAATATGAAAAGATGTTCACCTTCAACATGGCCATAACTTTGTTGTAATTTCTTTTCATGTACACAGAATTGTTTATACTGAAGGATTTGAGTTACCTGTTGTAGGTCAAAATCAGTTGGTCATCGGTCGTCGCCTTCTTCAATTTTTCCACCACTGCCCTAATGGATTGCTGGAAATGTAGAAATTAATCGATTAAGAAAACAATAAGGCAAAAACAGAAGAATAAATATCAGTAGAATACAATAATATGAAAAGAAACCAGATATGAATAATTCATATATTATTTTAAATTGACAATGTATAAGTGTATCCCTATTAATAACAACTTTATTATTAAACTTTCTATGCAAACTTTTCTGTGCATCACAATCCACATCTCTTCAGATAAAATTCTTGACATAAGTGTAAAATTGTTTACATCAAATAATATAGTTAAATTACATAATACATTAATAATATCTTACTTAGTTTGAAAACCCTTTTCCAAATCAGTTTAAAAAATATTGAATTGATAATGTATCCACTCAACACCAATATAGTATCATATATATATATACATATATATATATATATGTACAGGTATACAGGCATATATATATATATATGAAATTGTAACTAACAAGACATAGAAATTTTGTATGGAAGTGTTTGATTGTTATTAAACAATCTGTAACCATGCACCAAATTTGGCCAAAGAATTCCTATAAATACAAAATGACTGGCTATCCCCACCTGTACTGGTTCAAATATCAAAAGCAATTTTCAATAACAAACTTTAAACGAATTTCCAAACACTGGTTTTCTTACATAAAGAAAATATTCGTATTTATTAAATCTAAATACGTTTGGAAGTGATCTTGAGTCTTTACAACGTGTCAGTAATATAGCTGGATATGTATGTGGTCTATATATTTATTTCAAACATAATATTTCATTATGAATGAGTTCTTGAGTTGACGGGGCACTGGGTAATAATAATCCCCTTGCCAAAATGTCCACACGCATTTGCTTGTCGAGTTCCATCAAGTCATCATAATATTTATTGTCCTAGTTATTTATTACGATAAACGAATAACATTCTATTGGGAAATGTAATATCAAGAAACTTTCACTGTACCTGATAAGGTCGTGGGACGTTCTGTTTCTCTCTCCGTGATCGACGACTGCTGCTGAATTCCAGTTCGCGTACACGAACCTCCAAAGCTTCTAGAGACACTCTCGATAACATTTTCTCGATTTAGATAATACGTACAAGCGTAGGAATAATCCATTGTGTTGAGTTTCTTATATAGCATATCGTATAAACGGGTGCCACAGATTAGGGCTACTTTCAAAACAACTCCTGAGATCAAGAGACAAAATGGCGGCAATATTGAGGGTTACAAACGGGATTAGGGGCATTGTGGGTAATAACAAATACGTAATCCTTTTTCGATTGGCAGGTATGAAAACATTATCTAGACCCAATTTGGTTGTGATTTCAAGACAAAAGTTGAAATTGACCACTTTGGCACATAAATCGTTGTTTTGATGAAATCTCACGAGTTCGCGTGCCCACCGACTCATTATTTCCGGTTTCGTCTGTCAACACATGGTTTCGTCTGTCAACACATGATCAGGTAAGTTCCCATTGTTTTTACAGCTATTTCAATTTGATAATAGGAGCCCCTAAGACGAGACAAGCCCAAGGAAGCCGACAAACGAATCCCGACACTCAATTGACCTGACACTGATTATTTGTCAAGTTCTCAGTGTTAAAGCATACTAGCTATAAACGCTTTTACTGGTAAATGTTACTCACTTTAAACCCTCAACTACCTCAATTCATAGTAAATCTTTGATATTCTGGTTATTGAGAAATCCCATCATGTAAGTACCAGATGACGATTGTTTAAATGACATTATTGTTACCATCCCAAATACTCTTTCTCATATTCCAAAGCAAACGTTATTTTTTTACGTTTATGATTCGGCATTACTACAGTAGTATTCATCGTAGAATACCATTCATCCATATACATGTATATTAGATAAAATGTGACTTAGAATATTAACTCAATTATTATGATAATTATTATGAAAAATACATATTTAGTGTTTGTTTTTTCAATGTTAGATATACCATAAAGTTGTACATTATTTCTAAAGACATTAATGATGTTTCACAGAAGTACAAAGTCTTCTGCATACATTCCCCATACAATATGGGGAACATAGAGTAGGAGTCATAGTCTGGTGACATCATGGTGTTATGTAAATACAAATTCTAACAGTATAGTGATTTGGTGTCCCGAAAGGATCAGTTCTTTATAAACACTCAGCATCTTGGTTCGACAACAACAGCATCAGTTCATAGGTAAATAGAAAGTTTGACTAATGTACCTTTATATGCTGAGTCAATTCACCTTTCAAAATTTTATTCTTGCATATCATTGTTTTATTATGTCATTTCAGATAAAGCAAGTGCCCCATCCTTGATTGACCAAAACAAAGAGGAGGTGTGCATTGATACTATCTTTTGTTTTGCATATGTTTCAAATGTTATAATTCAGGATATGATATTTACATGTTACTTTATATACATTGAAACCCCGATAAGTAAACTACTGATGAATGGCAACCCTGGTTAAGTAAACCTTTTTCTCAATAACCTTCATTATTTCATGATGGATAAGTAAAAACGAATAAGTGGCAAGTCTGTTTAGTAAACCTTTCTCTCTCAACAATCCCTTCGGACAATTTACAACAGAAATGTGACAATACTCGGACCAGTCCTTGTGGATACACTCAGCAGCAATTACCATGTATCACCTGGCATCAACCACTTCGTTGTTAACGAGCCGACTAATTAGTCTCTTCCTGTATGTTGTTTATTGTCATAATTAATCCAAATCGGTGTCAAATCTGCCATACACTGGATATGGTGGATCTGAGTAGAGGGGCAAGTTCCAACAGAGTGCCACCATTGATCACAAAATTGTGCAGTATGGTTGTCACAATCTGATGGAACAACAGTGTTGACAGGATTCCCTATGCTAGCAAAGGAGAAAAGGTATGAAAACCAACCAGACATGTATCAAGGCCGTTTAAACATCTAATTTCGTTCATTCAAGGCCTTCTTTTAGTTGATTCATTCTCCGTGTGAAACTATTAGTGTAACCCTATAGTGAAACGACAGTGTGATGCTGATTCAAATGTGTGATATCATAACAGGTGATATTACATGTACTTGTATATGAAATGTTTTTTAATGATGAGTGTTGTTAAAAAATGAATCAAATTTGTATATATCTATTTATTTTATTTTATTTTGATCTGCAGATAATTTATTGAATGGTCCAGGTGAAGGGGTCAGGTTGTCGTGATACAATGGGGATACGATGTCTATTTACTTTACTTGGAAATGTGATACAACTTGCTTGAATGGATAAGTGGCAATACGGATAAGGAGCAACTTTTGCCATGGTCCCTTGGAGTTTTACTTATTCGGGTTTCACTGTATTGTAAATAATGCTCAGGTATATTAATTTTAGACATGATTAACTCTACAAGTCAAGTAAATCAAATGCTCAAATAAGCCATATGTGTGCAATATTTCTATCTGTGTGGTAGAAACGTTCTTGTGAATACAAGGAGAAATTTCTACTTTCTGTAATGTGTATTAATATTTTATAATTTTCTGACCACATTGAACAAATTTTGTATTGTTTCAGGTTCCAGATCTGGTGTTCTGTCCAACCATGTTGTTCAACAATGAATTTTACACCTAGGATGGATATGGGCAGTGCAGCACCCTGACATTATCATGGACTGATGACAGATCCAACATATCAGCATCAAGTTACCGCTCAGGAAAGATAAAATACTTCCTGAAACACACAATTGAGACAACCGGGGAAACTTTCACAGACCATATATTTGCTGTTGTCGAGTGGTACAAGTCATCGGACTCCAACCTCGGTTATTTGCCACCAACCTGAGTTTGGCAAAGCAGACAACTAAGCCCTGGACCTGCCTCATTCATCCCAATCCACAGAATCCAGTCTAAGTGTGCCTGGTGCACTGAGAGAGCTGGACAAAGGCCATATTTAATTGTTGTTCCTTTACCTCACCATTTGTATGTATAAATACAATGTTTTTGCGCAATCTTTTGTGTATGGTAGTGTAAATATGATACTACCTCATTTCTCTGTTGATAGTGAAAAAACAAAGAAGGGAAAGAAATGAAAGAAATGAAAACGTCTTTTGTATCATCAAGACACACCGCAATATCATGATATTAACCACCGAACGCCCTGCCCAGCCACCCCCACCCCACCCCCACCCCAATTCTCCCCATCAAAGCATAATCAGCTTAAATTATATTTGTAAATGACCTCATTATTCTACATAATAATGTAATATGATATTTGATATTGAAAGCAAACCTAAGTTTCAGGAATGGAAACCGACAGTGCCCACATAAGCATAAGTTTCTTGTTGGTTTCCATTTCCGACACTATAAGTTTACAGTGTCCATTCTATTAGGAAACTAGGTTACCCAGTTTCAGTGAATGGAAACCAACTGGACGCCAGGATGTTCAACTTCATGCTAGACCATTACAATTCTTAAGTTACTTGTTCAAAACAGTGCTCAGGAAACCAACATGAAACTACATTTTATGGTTTTCTGTTGGTTTCCATTCATGGAAATATCCAACTGCAAATTCCAGGAATGGAAACCAACAGGAAACCTATGACCTTAGTTTCTTGTTGGTTTCCATTTACGGAAATTCAAAAATCACAGAATCCAAAATGGAATCTAGTTGGAAACTCAGTTACTCAGTTTCAGTGAATGGAAACCAACTGGATTCCCCATTTACCCAGTATACGGTTGGTTTCCAGATTTCAGGAAACCAAGTCATTTTGTAGTGATTATGATTAAAATAAACATGGGGAATCAAATGATCTGTACATAAAAATACACACAATTATACTGCTGAATACAATGAATTTGACAGACTATTTTGCTACATGAATGTATAAAAATACACAGTATGATCAGTAAGCTAATACACTACCATAAAAATACATACATTGCCTTAAAAGTACATATATTTGAAGATGATCTTTTAGACAGATGTACATTCCGCTATTTGTGATTTTTTACCAATGACTCTTGTCCTGAGTACTGTAGTTTTTATGGCTTGAAGCCAGTATCACAGTATACATTTGCTATACATGTATATTGATAATTTTGAGCATGATAACCCTGGTGATATTAGAATAGATCTGATACATGTTAATAATCATATAATTTGATATCAGCAATTATTCAGCAGTTAACCAGTTTGAGTAAATGCTGCAATGGAGTCTTTTGCATTACTTTATTATACTTTAGGGCTGTGCATACAAACATAGTTCAACACATAATCAGTGATTTGACTTTGAATTTTGGAGAATTACAGTGCTCTGAATTTGTTGACCAGTGTGTATCTAGAAACTGTGTCTTTTTATAGACATCTGGGTATTGTGTTAACACCTATAGTTATTTGGACTAAAGCACTAACTACTCTTGGTCTACAGAGTGAAAAGGCTATTATGACTTTGTACAGATATTAAAAGAACGTTGAAAATATACCATGTCCAGATTTATTTAAGATATTTGATGGCATGATTTTTTCTATAGTGTGTTATGGTGCAGAAGTATATGGCACCTCATTATTATTGAACTATTGAAGATGTTCAGTATAAAATGTGTAAATGGTTTCTCAAGATGTGGGAAATGTGAAGATATTTATTCTCCTTTTTAAACCATGATTATTTAACAACCTACAACTATCATGGTGTTGTTCTATCAACAGTTTATCTGATTCCTTCTATCTATATTCCATAATGTGTCCCTTTTCCTATTACTTAAAACAAACTGTAGCTGTATCTGGAGTTGGAGTGGGATGGGTAATGGGGTACATTGAGTTATATTTTTATCATAGTCATCAGATTTTAAATATCCAGTAGATAACAGGCATCACGCAGACGTTTTAATACCATGATCACGCAAGATCATTATGCCTATTGCATCACCATGATCAACGCCGTGCAAAATTGAAGAGTAGAAATGGATGCTATTTTGAAATGATATATGCAAAATGAGTAAAAATAATAAATATATTCTTCTTTATTATTATTCCCTTTTTGAAAGCACGTACATTGTCAAAAATAGATGGTTGAACTAATCAGTTATGTGTTACACATGTATTAGATCTATTTATTATTAATTACATAATGTGGTAAACAACAATTTTCTAGTTACTATTACTGGGTGTTAATATTAATTCCATGGCTATTAGCTTTGCACCTTAATAAGGCTGGTATATTCTATGTATTGAAAAGGTGCTTGACGCTGGAGGATACAATTAAATCACTCCCATAACGGAAACCCATCATAATGAAGTAAATGTTCCTGACAAAATGTACAAGAGTTCCATCACTTGTTATCTGATCTTCTCGAAATTGCGAATATGTGCGAGTATCGTTGACACCCATCAGCTACGTTTAAGTGAAGGTGAATGTTTATGGAAGTCAACTTCTGTAATATGAGGAACTTATTCATCTTATGTGTATGTCATTCAGTTAGCTCCGGAAGAACTAACAATATACTCCAAATAGAAATGTTTCTCATATGACAGAAGTCGACACCCATAAATTTTCACCTTCATGTGTAGCAGTTCTAATTCTCATTCAAAGACTTTCTACGTAAAAATGAATTACATTCATCATTTTTGTCTCTACAGCTGCCAGTGCACAGGCAGCACAGAGTGGACAAAGTAAGTATTTTTCTCACAAATAATTTCTTTTATAGCATCTCTACTTTTCAAAATGCCCACAGGTTCAAGTAATTTCAAACATTCATATCACTCTCCCGGATCCCTTAATTTCTATGCTAATGTGCCCAGGCTTTATCTTGTTTTCGCAATTTTTTTTCAAAGATTATTAAGATTTAGTTTGCCAAAAAGCACACAATGAGACGAAACTAAAACTGATTTTCATCGAATACCCTTTTCTCACAATTATCTTTGTGTGGATGATCAGATGAGTAAATGTATCTGCATCACACTTTTGTATACCTTGATGAATCGATTGACAAGCGCGAAGTTTCCGAATATATATAGGTTTGATACCAACAAATAATCCGATTTAAATTTATATGGAGCCCCAGAGAGATGAGAGAAACATACGGTTCAGGGCCTGTGAGACTACACATCTATCTGCAGATCATGAAATAGAACTGCAATATTTCATCTTCGAGTTCCTAAATGTAACACATTGGTACTGGGGAATAGCATATTTTAGATTAATCACCTTTGGCACAAAACACAAGTGTCTTAACTACCCATAGTTGATTAACTGTCTTCCTTTCATCACTCAACTCCTTCTTATTGAACGTCTCAAGAATAATCTTGTGGCTCTTCAGCATTCGATTACGACTGCACCGTTATTGTGTGGGGCCTTTTCTGCTTCCTTATTTCTCTTTTAATGAGTTTATGTCATACTTTTCTGACTTAGTTAGAGGCTAAGTGATGGTAGCAGCTGTTCCTTGTTCTCAGCCTAACTGTCAATATTTTGTTCTTTTTCTGTTACAAAGTTCACAGGAAGATGTTAATACCCATATGTCATTCGAACATAAATGTCTTTCTATAACTGTGGCTCGGTAATAACACTTTTACGAAACCTGCAAGGACCATTTGGATAGGGGTGATATTGCCATCGGCGTACTTGCCCATCAACGTCCTGCTTGCTTGAAATATGCACGGGCTACATTATACCATTATGTACAGTATGTAGCTATCATTAAAGTTATGACTTGTCTTCCGGTGATCTAAAACCATTTGTGTTTTGCAGGTAACATTGTGATAAACATCACCAATGGTAACCCAATCCATGTCCCAGAAGGGGACACGGCTCAGATAACTGCACGTTGCAAGTCTGTTCCCGATGCAGATAACACTACATTGATCAGGAACGATGTACCCGTGACATCAATGGTGAACTGCACATGCAAAGAGGTAGCTCGTAATTGTACATTCACTCTCCAAGGTGTCACACGAAGCCAGTCCGGGACATACCAGATCTACGTCAGCAATGCGCGAGGAGAAATGAAGAGTACCGCCACCAAGGTTGATGTTATGTGTAAGTATATGTGTGTTTTTGTGCGTGCATCCGTGCGTGTATTTTGTATACATGTTATAGTACCGTACACGCGTACGTTAGCTGAAATGAATGTTGTCTACTTGTTCTTGATTCAATACATCCAGTGCACATTCAACTCCTGGATAAGACTTTTTTTGTAGATTGCTTACTATAATAGATTATGCGGTTTTCGTAAATACGACGCCACATCATTTACCTGAGATCATCAATGAATCAGCAGAATTCTGAATTCGCTTAATCCCATGTTGTCTTGACAACAATGGCATGGTGTTGACGTGCGATATTGCCCTGAAATGTTTGGTTACTTGTGTTGCATCATTAGCTTTATTCTTCTTTAAGATACATTCAGATACATCCTGTCATGTTTGCTGGTCCCATTTCACACTCGTGTTTTCCTCGCTACTCGCTCCCGAGACTACCCCAGGAGTCCAACTTCCGTGCTATTATGAAAAAAGAAATATAAGTAAACGCTATGTCCAACAACTGCGTGAGTGGCACTTAACTCTGACAATGCCCAAGGACTACCTGTTGCCTTGCATTCCCGAATGGCATCTCATCAATCTGAACACGTTCGCGATGTATGCAGCACCAACCACAAGTACAAGGGTTTATTCTCACACTGATCAACAGAAATAAAGTATTGTCTTGGAAGTGATTGAAAAATGTGGGCGTCTTTGTGTGTCGCATGAGTGAACATGACACATGTTATATATACGTCAGTCATATGCTTGGTATTTTGCAAAGATAAAATAAATGACTGACTGACTGAGTTTGGTTTTACGCCGCTTTTAGCAATATTCTAGCAACATCACGGCGGGGGACACCAGAAATTGGCTTCACACATTGTACCAATGTGGGGATTCGAGCCCGGGTCTTCGGCTCGAATGTACACGTCGTAATTCCAAGGGACACAAGTAATATGTATGACATCATGGAGTAGCGTTTTCGCAGGATTCCATATGTCCGTTGATCCACATAAAGAGAACATATCCCAATCAAATGCAGCCGACATAGAAACGTGTGCGATGTCACGTGTATTAATGAAATACCCATACTGTAAAATATATATGACAGTTTGGGATATTATAACTTATGTTCATTTTACAACTGGTCACGTAAGTTTGTTTCCGGTGCCCCACATATGCGTGACGTCTCATTGGTTAGCTGAGATTGCACACGTGTCAATTATTTTCATGATGTCTAAGGTTCTATAAAACAATTTGGAAACTAAAAAGAAATCAGTCAATCAACATATTAACAGCTACTCCTTGAACAATAATTGTTGTTTTTAAGTGATCACCTTTACCAAATATGGGCGTCTTCCGTCTGCACTGGAAAACGTCAATTATTGATTAATCATTTGGTCGATGTGTAACTCAACTGATCTTACCTATCTTACAGCGCTGCCTTGTGAATAGCATATAACGTGTAATACCTTCAACCCATCAAACCACCCACGAAGATCACTGTTAAAATTGATCAGGGTTAAAATTGATCTTCAGCACTTGATTGATGCATGTCATCGTATCCCAGCTGCGTAAATCGCTGCTGATGCAGTTGATCACTGCATTGTCTGTTCCAGACTCGATTATTTACAGACTGCCGCCATATAGCTGGACTATTGCTGAGTGAAGCGGATGTTGCTTTTGCGGTACTTCTACATGTGAACTAGGGTTAAACTTTATGAATAACAAGTTATTATATTTCGTGAGAGCGATGTTTCGATACAGATTCTTCTACCGTTGTCACTCCTGCTTGACAGTGTTATGTCAGTGGAGGTCACAAACATAACATGAATATTGTTCGACATATTCTTGTTCAGTTTACATCCGATAGTAACACAATACACTCATGCAGTGACAAAATGGAAATCCTGTAAATAAAACTCTGTGTGTGTGTGTGTGTGTGTGTTAGTGTGTTAGTGTGTGTTAGTGTGTGTGTGTGTGTGTGTGTGTGTGTGTGTGTGTGTGTGTGTGTGTGTGTGTGCGCGCACGCACAAAATGTCCAAAATGGCACAGGTGTTCAGTCATAAATATCAGATAGATAAAAAAAACAGAATGCCTTTAGATAAATAAAAAAAGAATGTCTTGTCTTCTAGCGTTGATATTATGATTGTACCGTTTTGTTAACATGTTTTTCAATCCAATTTGACAGTTATTACCAACATCAGTGTGTTTTCTGATGAAAAAACATATCGACCAAACACACCTAAAAAGATAGACAGGATAAAAGGTTCCGAATGATATCCGTGAAAATAAAAATGCACGTGCAGATCGTGACAACCCTACCAATGAAAGCGAGTCCCAAACTCGCCTGAAATATTTCCTGTGTTGACACAATCGCCGTACCACGACTTACGAGAGATGAGGAGGGACCAATCCTTGGGACGATTGCAAGTTAGCCAGACTGCACGGAGGATAGCCAATCATTTTAAGAAACTTGTGGGGTGGTCAATGCATATTGGTGTGGGGTGCAATCGGTCTGAACCAGAGAGTAGGCCCCTGAATCTCGGTCAAGGGAAATGACGTGACAACTGTTCGCTATACTGACCAAGTCATAAGACCCACGTTGTACCACATTTTGGACACTACAGAAATCACATCTTCCAGCAACACAACACAGGTGCCCACACTGCTACACTGGACTTCCTAAGACAACATGGCATCCAAACCCTGCAACCAGTCCGGATTAAGGTCCAATACAACACTTTTGGGACGAGATTCAAAGGGGAGGCTTAATGACCTGCAACCAAGGCCGACAACTGTGGCTGGACTCGATCAGGCATTTCGCAGAGTATGGACCCAAGTGCATATTTTCTTTTTCTTTTTGCAGTTCAGTCTACATCACGCCTAACCAATTACTGGACCAGGATTGACGAGTTACGCTTCACATTGCGCTTTGCCGATGGATTGGTACAGGTGTGACGTAGGAGGGGAGAACTTCAAACTAGCAAACGCCACGCACAGCGTTGTATGCGGAAGGGTAATGGAGGGGGCAGGGTAATGACTTTGTGCCAACGGTCGCCCTCAGTTGGTCTTGGTCCAGGGGAACCCTATTGACATTCAGTTTTGAAACCCCCAGCCCTTCTGCCATCCATGCAAAACATCACAACGCTACGCATTTATGACGCGCAACTTACAAGACGCGGGCGATGATGTCATAGACTGGCCTTCCCATTTCCCAGACTTGAACTCGATCGAGTACATTGGGATGAGCCGAGTGGACCAGCGAAGCAGCAGATGAATCCACCTAGACCTTGTTAGAACTTGATCAATGGCAATCACTTCCAATCAGTGTGTTCCGACAGGTTCTGTAGTCCATGAGGCGACGGAGGTTACGCTAATGATTTCTTTTGATCTGACACGTTGGGGTGTCTTTTCTTTAAAAAATAAATCCACTCACTACTTCTATTGTGGGATCAGATTTAACGAAAGAATAGTTTTCATTTTGGCAAAGAATATTTTGCTCATGGTTTTAGTTGCAGTATTATATATATTTTCGTTGTTATACACGACAAGATTTAGAAGAGGTCATATGGTTCCCAGTGCAGTGTGCACACCAAACGGCATTCCGCACTCAGTGCTCTCATGTTTGTCATCCCCAGCAGTCACAAATCACAGGTTGCAAAGATGAAGATACAGGAGTTTGTCCGTTCAACCACACCTTCTTGGCAGTAAATCAACTCAGATCTGAGACTGACTGTTGTTCAAGTTCAAGTTGATCTTTGTAAATATTTTACTGGGAGCATGTTCTGTTACGAACAACGCCCTTACATTGTCAAGTTCATTGTCTTGAGAACTTAGGCAGTAACTCTCTCTCTGCGTGTGTGTGTTATTAATGTGTTTGGGGGTGGGGGCTGGGTGTGTGTGATGTTTGGGTGGTGGGGGTGGGGTGGTAGTTGTTCAGTCACCTTGTTAGTGGTTAGACTTCTTATTTCACACCCCTCCCCTGCCCTCCATGTAATTTCAGTGTTGAGCATTTCCCCTTTACCTTTGGATTTCATGATTTATGTGCACACCCATCCACACCCCTTTTCCAAAATCTTGGATCTGCCTCTGAGTAAGAGCTCACTGATGTCTTTAGATCAGACACTGTCAGTGGTGTAGTGTCTTCTTGTACCTGGGTGCTGGAGAGCGAAAAGGGGAATATTTAGCAGATTATTACTTCTAATGTACTCCATGAACACTGCATTGTAGAGTGCAATATCTTCCCTTCTTACGTGAAACATCCAAACCTAATGCATGAGCATGCAGCTTTGTTTGCAAGATACCACGTAGCTAGTATCCTCTGTTGATGACAAGGGACAAATTTGACTATCTGACTGCCACCAAGAATCTCTCAAACGGATAGGGTTCCAATAGGAGATTATGATTCTTGGCTACTCTTGAGGCAAAGTGAAGGGAAAACAGCCTTGAAGATCGGAAAGCATTTCTGCTGAAACATACCGATAAAGCACATGATAGGATCATGAGCGATCATCAAGTTTCCACACGTGACATTGTCTTTTCAGCAGGCAATCACTCTTGAGAGGGGATGGGGAACATAACAGGACATGAACATTACAAAAGGTTTGGCACAGTCGGTTCAAAGGCTGCTAATTCCGGATCTAAACCACCCTTTGGTCGTCATCCCTAGTGAAACTGTATTTCGTTTTGCTTCTGTTTTGTACCCATGGATACCAGACAGATAATTTTCCCCAACATCTGCAAAGTACAACAATTGTATCGTAAGAGACTCTTTGGCCTCATTTATAAAAGCTAAAGTGTCAAGTAATGTCAGGTATCCCTCTGCCTTCTCATTTTGTCATGGCTTACTTGATCATAGCCAATTTCGTACACAAATGGCCAACAACAAAATGTGTGAAGAACAATGTGTGTGCTTATTGGCATATGCTGTACATCGTGTACAAATCATCTGTACCATGTGAACCTCTCAACTCTTGGCATGGCTTGTGATGATGTGGACTAAAAGGTTCATAG